GAACTTTCTACTGTGATAAACACACCAAATATTACCATCTAAAAATGCAGTATACGATTTAATCATTTACGCGACCTACAGATTATGCCGATCAACCGAACATGAAGTTTACTGGATCTGGGCAGCGGTATTACTTCTCATTGCATCTTTAAAAAGTGCGAATCACTCCACTCCAAAACAAACGATACTCTAGAAAGATAAACGTCAGCCTAAGGCAGTTACCGAAGGGAAGTACAAAGTGATAATGATTGAGCAACGGCGTTGCGCAATTCAAAAAATGAAGAAAACAACACGATCAGAAGAATAGAGCATTCGCTACAACAAAAAGTTCTAATAGTACCAAAAAGGTTTCACCTCCAATTGTAAAGCGTATTCAAAAGGCCGAGAATAAGACAAATATGCAAAAATAAAGCTAACTGTCATAAAGTGACGCGAACTAAAAGAAAATCCATCAGCATTTACCATGAAAAGAGTAGATCTTACTGGAAAGTGGTGCTACTGCTATAAACGTAGATATATACTAAGACCTTCACCTCCCCCACCCCTTTCTTTGAGGTTGGTCATAGTGGTTGCGGGGATGCTGCTAGAATGTCAGCGCCATTTCTTCTGACGTCGATTTGCCGCACGGCGTGAGCGATCCTCATCTCGAGGCTCCAGTGGTAGGTACGAGATTTGCGCATGCCCTGAGCGTTTTTAGCATTACGGAGTAAGGGATTACAATAAATAGAGAAAGAACAAGATCTTCAGATCTCCTAGGAGCTTGAGGAGATGCATAAAGCAAAGTCACCTAGCAATGCCAATGTCAGTACAATGTCAATGTCGATACCTGCTATTGGTTAGAAAAAGAAAAATGAGAATAATGTACCTGGACGAAAACCATCGGCGATTTCAGCAAGTTCACGCATTCTGTCGCTAAAACGATGAGAAGATGGATCACTGCTGGAGAGTTTCCCAGTACTGGTTGCTGCTGGTGAGACTAAGCGATACTGGACGGTGTGTGAGTTTGGACGAACATGCTTGAGGAAATTTACCTACAACAAAGTCTTCGACTACTAAACGGTGGAAATTGCAACAAAAAAAACCTCGCAAGTGGCCCAATCAGTGATATCGTAAACAACTCCATCGCAGCATGTAAAATAGACCCATAGAAGTCCAAAAAGGCGAGTTTCAACCCAGATATCGTTCTAAATGAAAATCTTGCACTTGGCTATGATTTATGGTATTCATCGTCATTCGTTGAAATGTAGACCAGATATACACAGCAATACATGCAATGAATTAGAAATGCTTCCTCCCTACTCCCCTCCCAGTCACCCCTCCCGTTCCTCCTTCCAGCTTCTTATTTTGCTTTAGGACAGAAGACAAGCTTATTCCCCTTCATAACCTAAGGAAGAAGTGATTTTTCAAAAGAAGAAAAGAAAGTTCGTAAGCCTTATGCGCATCCCATCGAATGCAAGGAAAGAAGATGCATGGAACCTGACATATATTTAAAGTAAAATAGTATATGCATCATAGTGTGATCATTAAGGTAATTTTTTTGCAGTAGGTTTATGATAGAACAGCTTAAACCCAAGAAGAATCTCCTCTTTCGATTGATCTATAATAATGGGTTTTGCACATTGCTAGGCAGAGAACACTGAGTTGCTTTATAAGCAAAAAATTGAGATTATGCTTTTCCATCAAAAAGTGCTACAAAAAACAGAAGCTAAGATCTTATATACAGTTGTTTGCACAGCTTATCATCCATTAAATACAAAATCGTAGGTATTAAACTCCTTCCTCTTGTAAAGGGTGAGTGAACACCGTTCGTTTACAGTAAAAAGTCGAGGATGTGAGGCGCACTAAGAATCGAAATACAAAAGTTCACCTTTCTTCGTAAAGCCAGATAAATTCACATCTCAACGCCCTATATTTTTTAAAGGAAGGGCAGAAAATCCCAAATATGTCTCTGTTGCAACTGCTTCACAATAAGAAAATTACAAGCAATTTTAATCAAGAGGCCTGTCTCCAAAGTAAACTGGAACTGCGTGTAGTTTGCCATGTTATTGACGGGGCTGCCGCAATCTTTGTGAGACCTTTGCAATTGGTTTGCTTCCATGCTGACAAGTAACGGAGCTCTTGTCATAGGAGATACATAACCCACGGCTCTGGTCACCTTCACTGATGAGTGAAAAAACAATACAACCCTCACCTAAGTACAAACTAAAAGTTTGAAGATTGAGAAATATAAGATCAATAGAGGGAGGAATGGCTTTTATTTTATTGACAACGAAATAAAATTAAGAAATCGTAATGCATAAGAACTGTATGTATTGGGAAGATAGATAAAGAATTTTTTTTTATGAATAATGAAAAGGTGTATGAAGAAGCTGAAGCTGAAAAGGCCATAAAGTGTGAGAAGT